CACTCGGAAGTTGTGTCGGAGTCGACTTTCTACGCTATGTGGAGTAAGCACTTCTGGCACGTGAGTCTAGCTATGTCCAACACATTCACGAAGTGTGCAAAATGTATATTCTACAAGCAGTGCATTGCCAAGTCGAAGTACGAGAGGGACCGTAAGAAATCCAAAGATAGGATGCAGAAACATCAAGAGCTGCAAGTCAACCACAGGCTAGACTATAGCCGCTGCAAAATGGATTCCATCTTGCGGCAGTCCGAGTGTCTGTGCATCATTATTGACGGATGGATCAAAAGAAAACTACCATACCGCATATAGGACAGGCTAACTACTCGAAGGACTTGCACCACGAGAGGATGATGAAGACTGGTCTCACGGTCGTTCTGGTCCATGGTCGGGATCCGTCTATATATGTTTACACATATTTTCCTTACTACACACACGGTCCCAGCAGTACGGCAACGTGTTTAATGCGGACTCTTACGGAGATCCAATCCAGTGGGAAACCTCTACCACCGTTTCTTCGTATTCAAGCTGACAACTGCTTCAAAGAAAACAAGAATAGATTCATCTGCGCGTTGGCAGCACTTCTTGTGAAGTTCGGGATTTTCAAGGAAATAAAAATTGGTCTTATGATAGTTGGACACACGCACACAGACGTCGATGCCACGTTTAGTATTTTCTCCAAGAAACTCAAGGACAATGATGCCTACACAATGGATGAGTTGTTCCTTTTGCTAGAACGGTCTCATAAGACTCCTCCATGGTGTATTTTTCTTGATAGGACAGCAGACTGTAGAGGTCTTATTTACCCGCATATTTCAAAGCGCATGACAGGGATTTCGAAGCCTCATTTGCTGAAATTCTACATGATAGGTGATAATCCCGCCATGTCCTATAAAGAGTATTGCACAGACGCTAAGTGGTTGCCCGAGGATGATCCTCTTTACTAGTTCAAACAAACAGACAACGGTGGTTACGCTGGTCCGCAGCAACCTTTCGATCCTCTGCCGGTCCAACCGGCTTTCCTCGACGATTACAAGAACGGTTTAGAGGGTGTGAAGAGGTTTTTGGAAGTCTATGAAAAAAAACAGAGAAACTTGGATGACTTTCCGAGACGAAGAGGTGACTAGAATAGACAGGGCTTTTCGGTTTTGGGAAGATCACGTCAAACACGAGGGGGACATTATGGACAACAGGGTGCCTTCGGCACTCATCACCGAATTCTGGCCAAAGGTCACCCATGTCGTTGAAGACAGGAGTTCTTGCTGTGATTCGGATGCATCCGAACTACAGAGAGAACCTCTATTCGTGGGTCTTCAGAGGGACAAGCCTAAGGCCAGCTTTGATCCTTTCGAAGATGTGCATGTCGACAGTTTTGTCATTATGCAACGACGAGGACATGCATCAAGGAGTGCCTTTTTGGGTTGGCCAGGTTCGCAGTGAAGTTGAAAAGAACGAAGATTCGCCAACTTACAACCAATTCTAGGTGGAGTACTGGGTTCCAATCGGAAAAGCGAGCACACTAAGAGAATTGTATGCCGACGCCTGGGAAAAAAAATGGAAAAAAACTCCAGGGCACGAGGAAGAGTATCAACATGTCACAACCGTTGCGTTTTCTTGGATGAGACAAACGAGGACGAATGTTTGCGAGTCCTCCAAAAAGTTTACCACCGGTCTTGTGATTCCTCTGAAAGTAAGAGAAAATGCAATTCCCGCCCTAGAAAACGGCGTTTGCGCTCAAACACAAAGCGTTTCCGGAGAAGGGAGCGGGCAGGAGGCTACCTCATCGAGAGTGTGATGGTTGTTATCTTTTCGTGAGGAGAACGTATTGTCATGCTGGCCTGTGCACACCATGCTTGACTCCATGGAATACATCGCTTAATGATTTGTGCTCTTTGGGTTACGGGCTTCAAATCAACAAGAGTTCTTCATCAATTTTCGACATTGGGCGTGGGGGCGTTTTGGTCGTCGTAGCATGACCTCGGGCTTTCGGTCCTGACCTTGATGTGATGCTTTTATTGTGACTTTTGTCTTTTGCAGTGCCCAAACTTTCCTCTTCTAACGTACTTCGAAAACATGGATGAGATTTTGGGCTACATTGAAATAAAAGTACCTGAACGACTGGCGATCATCACAAAGGGAGGAGCGTTTCCTTTTCAATACGAGAGAATCTTCAGGATCGTAGCGGGAGGACGGACAATGTTTGTCATCATGGTGAGGTTTACTGATCTCAACATTTTGGACATGCAAATATATGAGCGTCGGGGGGAAAATTGGATGCGAGGAGATTTTACAAGCGCTTATGTAAAAGTTTCAGAAGTTCTTTTCGCCTTGAGACGTGCTGTGCTCGGACCAGGGGGTGACATTCAGGGTTTCTCGTTTTTCATTACGGAGTTTGAAGGTCTGCCTCAACCTCCAATCCCGGCTTGCATGGTGGACGGTTCGACATGGAAACCGATAGTGAACGCTCTGCGAAGAGGCTTCTTCTGAGAACGTCAACTTTTTAAGACGTTTGATGACCAGTCTTACATTTCTAGAATTTTGTGTCATTATGTCGGATTTCTGAACATTTTCGTAGTATAGTCATTTCTGATTACTTTTAATTTTCACCAGTTTGAGAGACGAGTCTTGACATTTCCCAAGTTTTGTGGTCGAATGTCAGATTAGTTGAAATTTGCGCACTGTAAAGTATTAAGTGAAAGCCACGAGTGCCGACCGTGGCTCATGGTCGGCTGTGGTTCGGATGCATCCAACCCAGAGAATAAGGATACTGTTACGACAACCAAACACAAGAGCGTCAAGGGGGAAATAGGATGCTGGGGGATTTTACAGCACCTTATCTGCAAGCTGCAGATGTTCTTATGTCCTTGAGACGTGCTGTTGTCATGGCTGGGGGAGACGTTCTAGGTTTCGCGATTTCCATTACGGGTTTCGAAGGTCTACCTCAACCTCCTATCTCGGCTTGCATTGTGCACGGTTCAACATGGGAACCGCTAGTGAACGCTTTTCGAAGCGACTTCTTTTGAAGATTTCAAGTTCGGGACACTTTGGTGACGAGTTTTACGTTTTTAGAGTTCCGTCAGGATGTCGGATTTGTAAATGTTTTCATAGTGTAGGCTTTTTTAGAGAGACATCTCAACATTTCCAAATTAGAATGTCCGATTAGTTGAAATTTCGACGGAAATTTTTTGGTTGATTGTGGACGGTCCGACATAGCCTTGCCAAATCTTTGGTTAATGAAAAATTTTCAGATAACCGTTACGATTCACAATATTGGGACTTGATAACTGTTATCAGTTTCTAAGGCGTACTTCTCATTTGTCTCGACAATGGTTGTGTGCCTGCTTGTGTAGGCTGGGTGTCCCGCTCTGTTTTTAATTTTTCTTCGCTTTTCAATCTAGTTCTCATGAGTTGCTAATTGTCTTCAAAATCAAGTGAGATCTTTCTAAGTAATTATAAGGTCCTTGGTCACTTCAACATCTGATAATCTGTACACAGTTTGATTCGGATGTATCCTACGCATTTGTTTGAGCCTTCTCCAATGCCCAATCCTCATATGATAACGTCTCTACATAATATGCTCCCCACCACTTCACTTCGTACGATGCCCGTTTTTTTTGAGAAATGTTTGGTAAAGTGATAATGTACATGTAACCGCCATCTAATTGAAATTTAAGACTGATGGTTACTAGAGTTCTTAAGGGGTTCCCGAGGGTGCACTTTTGTTTGTTAACATACATCATTTGATCTCGGCAAGGACAGTGACGGAGTGGTGGGCAGCATTGGGTAGGGAAGTTACAAGTTCATGGTTGCGAGGTCTTACCCGACAAGCGGCAAATGATAACATCTCTGTATAATGCTGCCCACCACTTCACTCCGTCCGATGCCCTTTTGTTTTAAGAAATGTCTGCTAAGCTATAATTATTCTTGGAATGATAACATATTGGTTAATTTTCCCTCGGAGGGTGATCCGGGCTATGATCATAATTTCATCCTTTTGATTGAATGAACTTCAAAGATATTTAATGAATGACGCACGGTTTATAACATAATGGATTTTCTCCATCCGAATAATGAAATATTTGATTCGGATATATCACAGTTTTACTATAAAACTAGCCAACTTGTGTATTATGAATTATATCGAAACATGTGACTCGGATGTATCCTACTTATCCTGCTTGTATTCAATTAAACTTCAAAAATGAGCTCTTCTTTTCACTCCCATGCACCCTTTAAAGCCTCAACGAAGACCTTTTTTGGGTCACTCATACACGTCCCTCACAAGGGGAAACCTTCGATATGCTACGTTCGTACTAACTGTTTGAATGTGTGCCAGTTTAGTTGAGGATTTATCCGTTGAACARGGACTCTGATCGTTGTTTATTAATGTATAATGRGCATCTTCTTTCGTCAGCCGTGTATACCTTTCGAGTTTCTCGAACGACAAAAGTACTATTTAGAAAATAATGTACTATTTTAATGAATAACATGTTGTATGGAGAAGGGTTCCCGTCAACTGTTTGTATCGACACTTTACATATGTTCAACAATGGTGCCAACTAGTTGTCAACATCGCCATTATCATTTCAACTTGTTTTCAACATTTATCCAACGCTCTCTTTACTGTCGTCCAACAACATGCTTGTCACTGTGGGAGTTTGCTAGTGCGGGCCTTTGAGCCATTACAAAATGGGGCTTGTCGTTGCAAATGGCCCGCATTAGCGAACTTGTGATACATTATTTCCCTGCGCGCCAAGTGTGTTTTCCTGTCCTGCGCACCAAGTTGTGCCGAGCCGCCGCGATACATGTTCTCCCTATGCCACACATGAAGGGGTAGTCAGGGAGGCACAGCGACCTGCCATTGTCCAGTGTCCCCCGTAAAGGTGTTCCCATATTGGCAATAATGCCATCCTCGACTGTAATGCGCAGCCTGTGTCTGATTAGACACAGTCTTGCATTTACGTGGGCTGGTTAGGACGATGATAAATCTTCAATGCCTAAAATAAAATAAAATAATAATATAAAAAAAAACAAAATAACAAAGACATGGAACAATGGCCGCTTGCGCCGGATCATATATGACTGGGAGCAGGGGACTGGTCCTCTGGGGTTTATCCCGTGATGCCACGGGCTGTCCCCTGGCTGGTAGCGCCGACGCGCGCGTCCGTAGCATCGCACGTGTGTTCTCTTGTGGACACGGTACTCTCTGCTACGATTCATCTCACAGTATGCCTTCAAGCACGAGTGGTGGTAAGTTCGTAGTATGATGTGGGACCCGTTGAATCGTGCAGCCGGGCGGCGCACCTGCTCGGCCCACCGGGCGGACCACCGCATTCTATGTTGCCGGTGGGTTTGTGCACATTTGGGCCCCTTGGTGTAGATCCGGGGGGGGGGGCTCCACTGGACCTAACACCATATACTTTGGAAAACTACGGCGCAGTCCCGGTTTGAGTTTGTAATTGCACTTGAGGCAAAGGGGCCGGTACTGCTGAATGTAAATGACCTGCGTTTCAGGTCCGGTGGGGTCGCGTGGGGGTGTGTTGTATTCGCGGGATTGTGACGGCCCTTTAGAAGTTGTATTCGCGGGATTGTGACGACCCTTTAGAAGTCCGGTGGGGTCGCGTGGGGGTGTGTTGTATTCGCGGGAATGTAAATGACCTTCTACCTGTCATTCCATTTTTTACCACAGACCCGAAGGACCCTCCACTACGGGCTCATACGAGTTACACTTTTTTTTTTCCTTTTCTTTTCCCGCCCTCACCGTTTCGGAAAGGTTGACGTCCGCACGTTTTCTTTTTCGGACGTCCTACCTTCCCGTCTTCCACTACGCTTCGTCGACACGCCCGAACGCTCGTCATTTCGTTCCGAATGTCGCTTCGCCCTTCGTCCGTAGGCTGTCGTTTGTCGCTGCGCTGTACTTCGCGCTACGCCCTGCCCCTTCGACATCCTTGCACCGTGACGCGCCGAGGTGAGTCGGTGCTTCTTTCCTCCTCTTGCTCCGCCCCTCCTCTTCCTCCTTTGCTATGGTCTTCCTCCTCCTCTTCCTCTCCTCGTCTTTTTCTCCTTTCTTTCCTCGTCTTCATCCTCCACCATTTCTTTCTCGTGTTCATCCTCTTCCTCCTCCTTTTCGATGAGTTCTTGCTCTACGTCGTCCTTTTGATTACTCCTCCCCTCCTCCTTTTCTTCCTCGTCCTCATCCTCCACCATATCTTCAGGCAGGGAGAGAGAGAGAGAGAGAGAGAGAGAGAGAGAGAGAGAGAGAGAGAGAGAGAGAGA